ATATATGAGACCCTCATTTAAATAAATTTATTGTCAAACTAATCATTTTGGCACACCATAATTGGTCTAATCCAAATTCAAATGAGCACAAAATTTAGTGCTTTGAAGTAAATTTCATAATATTATTAGAGGGGTCAAATATTTGCCAATATTACATACTTATAGTCAAATAAAGATTAGACTAAGATTATGAGTTGTACAATGGAGTGATTTGTAATTTTGATTAAAATTATAAAAATGTCATCATATAGAATCATAAATAGATCATTGTTCTTCACATACATAAGATTTGGCATAGCGATGTAAACCAATTTAGAATCTTACTTTGATAATAGTCGTCGACCATTGTTTGAACATCATTGCCAGACCATCATTGCCCATTCGATGTAAACCAATTTAGAAAAATCTCATCTTTTTAGCCTTTTATATATACTCTATTGAAGCTTGAAAATAAATTTCTGGACTAATTATCTCATTTTGATACTTAGGGTCTGTTTGGGGTAGCTGCAGCTTATTAAAAAACAGTTGTGAAGCTGCTGAAAAATAATCAGATGTTCAAAAAGCTCGATGACAGTACCACTGATAAGTTATTCACCATAGGGTGTGACTAGTAAAAATATCAAAATAGGGATGTTAAAATTTTAAATACATACAAATTGTGTGGTATGTGTGTAGATTTCTATGTTGTACATCATTTTCACATGTATAAGAATTTTGCTAATCGATGATGTACAAGATTGTACCATTGGAAATAAGCTCGAGCAACTCAACAAGCACTAAAAAGACCTAAACAGCGACAAGTTTTTTGTTATCACAATCTATTATGTGTTGTTTTCATAACTCGGAAATGGTGCAATGTAAGACGAAACTCTACATATGTCTAAGGAATTTAATGAATAGAGATTGCAATTTTTTCTAGTGGGTTGATATACCAAAAGTAGCAATACACAAGCGAGTTGATGATACAGTGAAAAATGATGTCAACGACTTAAAATTTCTTGTGAAGACTTTACTTATGTTTGATTTTGATATTGTAACATTACATCTGTTGTTGTTATTGGTGTATCTGTTTTAATCGTGTTTGTGTATTCTAGAGAACAAACTGTCCTGTATTTGATTATTTTTTTTATTAAAAAAACATATTTTTTGGCTGAGATGTTTATATCCACGATCGTGTGAGACTTGGAGAGGGGGGTCTTTTGATCCATCACAAGCTCTTGTTATTATGTTGTTGTAGGAAGAGATAATTTGAAGATTTCTTATGATGGGTTAATGTTCACCTTAATTTGCCTTATCGTGTTGTGAGTGAAAAAAAATTGATAAATTGTCATTAGATATTCATTATATTGGAAGCACTTTCAGAACAGTTTGTTTTAAACAGTTTAAACTGAACTATGTTTATACTTTAGGGTATTTGAATCATTATGTCAGCTGATAACACTTTAAGAATTGTGTTTTTTTTTAAGCATATTAACTGCTTCTGAAACACTAGCTTTTGAACGACAGATTTTCAACAGCAGTTTTGGAAGCTAGCTTTTTTACAACCACAACCAAAATAAATGCACCATTAATCTCTTCAACTAAAAAAATAAAAAACGAGAGAGCCATATCCAAATTAGGGATGCACATTTAGCTCAAAGATCGTTAATTGCTCAAAAATTTATTCGAGTTTTGACTCATATTTATATCCGATCAATTAAAAAAAGCAGAGTTATGAGCAAAAATTTTGGATTAAATTTTTCTTTGCTTATTTCGAGTGATATATGAATCAGCTAGAACTGACTCGAGCTCAGCTCGAAGTGTTTTTATTTATAAAGGTTATATATAATACTAAATAAAATTGAATATAATGAGTTATGAGCAAATTTTGAGCTGGAACTGATCCATATTACTCAATTTGAGCCCTCTTATTTCAATTTCAAGCCAACATCCTTAATGCAAGCCGGATCGACCCTACTTCAAGCTGGAACGAATCCAAATAACTAAATTTGAGCCAGCTTATTTCAATTTCAAGCCGGATCGAGCTCGATTCAATTTCCAACCTAGCAGGCTTGAAATTGAATATAACGAGTCATGAGCCGTTTTCAAGCCGCACTCAATCCGTTCAAGTCGACCCTAGCTCGGCTCAAAATCGGATCATTAACATCCTTAATGCAATTACAATATTAATCTCTCCAAACATCCTTAAATTATCACCTCCAAATCCCAACTCCACCACAATAAATAAAAATAAAAAAAATCATTGAAAAAAAAGAATAAATAAATTACAAATCACAATGGAAAGCAAATATTTTATTTGCACTTGACACCAAACAATGTGGAATTTGCAATTGAGAAATCAGGTGAGGGGCTCTGTGTTACTCCCATTCTCCGGCGCTGAAGCCGCCTTCTGCCTTTGGTAAACAAGCCTTAGCCTCTCTATCTCCTTTTTAAGCGCCTCCTGATGTGCTGTCAGTCATAATATTAAGGATAATTTTGTAATTTTTATTTACTCAATTAAATTTGATTTGAATTTACAATATATATATATATATATATATATGTATATATATATTATATATTTTAAGTAGTTTATTTTCTAAATTTTTACTTTTTGCTTGTGTAGTTCGAGACTATATGATTTTTTAGTGATTATTTGTTTGGAAGATTTACATTCATACCACTAAATTTTTATGTATTTACATATCCAACAAATAAAATGTCAAAAAAATCCCCTATTATTTAAATTAAAGTTCGGGTCTAAAACAACCAAATATAAATAGTCGAAGTCTAATACATAAACTTAAATTTTTACACGTTCCACCATTATGCATGAAAATGTGTATTATATATATATATATATTTATTTATTTATTTATTTACATGTAATATATATTATTATTATTTATTGCATTTTCTTATATAAAATGTCACGTGTAATATATTAATTATATGGTGGGTGGGAGTCTGGGAGAGACATTTCCATACCTTACATGTAAAAGTATATATATATATATATATATATATATATGGTATAATTACATACAGACCCCCTAACACATCTTTATTTACAAATAAACGGCTCAAA